CCCCCTTCTTGACGGTCGATATTCTACCACCGCCGACAGTTTTTTTCTCCTGAGCCCTCCAAACCACAAAAACCACCATCAACTATATTTTTATGCCTTAAGCTCAGGAGTTTTTTTTCACTGCTGGTCGGATTTGTGTTTAGTCGCTTCCCTTGACAATGCCTGTAAACTGGCATTAAAATAAAATTTACTTAAAATTTATTTATTTGCGGGGTTTGTAGACGTGCTGGGCTGAAAAGACTTGATAGATCCAAGAGAAGGTGGCGTACCCCTAAATGGAACTGTATTACCTTTCTAGTAGGTCGGAGTCTGATTCGGTTTTGGAGCCTCACCTTTCTGATGCCAAGCCACAGATGACTTAACTGTAGAGCTTGCAGCACCCAGTTGAACAGGGGAAGTTGTCGGTCTTGCTGATGTAGACAGATTTTCATGTGTCCCAGCAGGGCTATCCGGAGGACACGAAAAGACAGATGGGGCTGCTGCTGCTGCTGCTGAAAGTTTAGGGGCAGGCAAATGCGTCAAGTGGCTTGAGTGAGATGGAGATGTACATAGAAGGAAGGGGAAGTAGGGAGTCAGATGTCGCAGGAGTAGGACAAGCAGAATCCTCACGGCCACTTGTATTATGATCGAGTTGGGGAGCAGTAGACTGAGAAGCAGTGGAATTACGTGAGAAGAGAGACCCGATTCTACGCTCCATAGGAGTAAGATCATGACGAAGGAAAAGTTTTGCACTTTCCACGTACTCAGTGACATGATCTCGATGGGCAAAATAGTGTCAACGTCGATTGATAAAAATAATTTGACTAAAATGAGTGGATTTTTGCTACGGGAGGACAAGCGTTTGACATCGGCTATTTTGTAGTTGAAACCACATGAATACAGAAAATTGGTAGCAACATCAATTGCCCGAGCAGATCGACAAACATTTTTTAGCAGAAAGTTGTAAGAACGCTTTCGTCTATCACCAGCTTCACTGGCGATCAGGTGAACGAGTCGAGACGCCTGCATTCTTCAGAGGGAATATCGGAGATTTTCCCGCCGAATAAATTTCCAAGAATTGACAGCAAAGTGCAAAAAAAGAAGAGGGCAACAGGCCGTTCTGAATGAATAGGCCTGTATTTAAAGAAATTCAACCAAAATAGCAGGGGCTAAAATCGTTAGGTCTCGGAGAAAAACTACCTAAATAATATTCTCCACTTATCTTCAAATTTAAAACCAGCGGCTTGACCTTGACTTCTCTGGATTATTTGGCCGTTTTTGATTTTCAGCGCTTTCTCCCCTCTCTCACTTTCACATTCAGTTCCCTTCCTATCGGCCCGTTGTTCGGACTGTAGTCGAGCTTGTGGGTACTGTTACAGTCTTCTCCCATAGTTTCCGCTGCATCGGCTTACTCCTGTGGCCTTCAGTATGTCTCACGCTCCCTGGCAATCAAAACTGGAGCTTCTCAAGACTGGATAACAGCAAGGCTAGAACTCGAGGTCGATCCACAGTGAGTCCCCGCCTGAATAGGCTCAGTCGGACACTCGCGCTCGCCGAGGAGCCAAAAAGCTTAACCGTTCCCATTGGCCTGAAGAGATGGCATACGGAAACCGCTTGCTGGGACACTTATACGCCCTCAGCTTTGGTAGCGATTGTTCAAATAACTGTCTTCACCCATGTGGGATTTTTAATATATCAGATTTTGACAGTGTCATGGATTATGGCTTCAGTCACTGGTTCATCTATCATCCGCACTAACGCGATCCCTATCGTTGCTTGCCAAAACCAAACAAACTGAACCACAATATTTGTGCTCCGATCATCATTTTCTGACATCAAGCGGCCTTTGTACACAGTTTCACCGACTGCTGCGAGAAATTTTAAATATAGCAAATGTACAGGGGCCTTCATCGGCGAAGAAAGATCAAAATCAACTCAGCAAATTTAACGCTAAGAGGAAACCGATGGATTCCACTACAATGCATCGACTGTTGCGGAAAAGTGACCTTTGTTAAAAATCGGGAATTTGTAGTTTGAAAATAAAGCGAATTCTCTCTCTCTACTTTAAGTGACTATAACGCACTTTGCGGGCACTTCAGGTCTGTTTGCAGTTTGACGGTCCGGCCTAAATATGGCGAGAATCGTTTCTCGTTTTGCTCCGTGGTTTTCGCGGCCACGTTTCTTTTCGGCCGTAGCTTTTCATGCACCACCAAATAGCGTCTATAGTAGAGTCCGAAACTTTATTATCAACAACCCGTCACTCCGCGATACAAGTATGCTTATTCTAGACATCGATTGATTCCCAGGCGCAACACCTTTATCTCAAGAACCATCTAAAAAGTTGAGTAAAATACAGCAAGAACTTTTGGAAGATCTAGAAGCTTCTGATGTAAGCATACTGCGTTTTTATTTAGCCCTAGGTAAGTTATCGAGATGTAAAAACTCGTGAGGCCGGGCCCTCGTCGAAGGAGCGCCCGAATCTGATTCCCTTCGATGAAGAGCGCCGCATACTGGGTTGCATCTGTAAGAAAAGATGTAGTTTATCTTATATCTGTTTGCATGACCTCATTTCTTCTGGTATTACGAGTTAATTTGCATCTCGTGACAGCGTTTTTCACTTCCACCCCTTCGAATCGGCTGTTTGTGTTGGGTCTTCTTTCTTGTTTTCATAAGTAATTCGTTTCTTAGTTATTAGTCAGTTGAGATCATAGAGCTACACGTCTCACTGACATATACGTATTCCATCAAACTTGCTGACATCGGGTGCGTAAACTTTCTCTTCGAGACTTAGTTAACATAACTTTGACCGATATACTTCTTCAATAGTATTCCACAAACAGAAAATTAGCCTGCCTCCGGTCGAAAACATCTGAATGCAGTGTTAAATTATATTTAGAGGAAATATTAATGATTCTCTAGGCAAGCGGCGTTTTCCAGGGAGCGATCCTTTCAGAATGTCCTTTGAGCAAATTTTGTTTTCTGAGGTCTTGTTTTGTGTCCGGGTACATTCAGTGTCCAATTGCGACACCGACAGGGAGAGTGGCGCATGAATATCAGGTAGGTCGTAATATCGGAAATTTATCATCTGAAGCCAAGTACAGCCTTCGCTGCCTCAAGAACCTCGCAGCTGCTGTAGACATCCGTCTGCTTGCATCAAACCCTTCCTGCCAGCTGAGGCCGACGATGGGCGCCATGAACTGTTTTCCGACGAAAACGATTGGTTGTCTAGAAAGTGTTGGTTCAATAGTACCCCCAAAGGTACGAGGCCACAAGCTTGTCTAGTTGAGATGCAAAAAGGCCTGCCGGGTCTGGATAATAGATCATTTCCTATGGGTCTTTCACCTCGATCAACCGTAACTGCGGCTGCAACCCAGTATTCACAGAACTTTGATACGGTAGTGTATTTGGAAAGTCAAGGCACTTGGCAAGAGCTTTTCTTCATTCGAAGTTCATGAGTACTGTTTAAAGATAATTGGTGATCTAATACACTGCGTCCTTCCTCAAGTTTCAAGAAACAAGACCGTGTCAACAAGCCAAACTGATGTTGCCGTCACGTCGCTCTTTTGAAATGACAGTAGACCGCTACCACATCGTCCACATCCTTAACACTTCTCCAAGTCTTCGCAGGACACGACGCTGTCTTAGCATTATCACCATCTTAACATAAATTTGTGATGCAGTGTCGTGGGTGAATGAGGTCGCCAAATCCGATCTGGTAGTGCCAGAAGAAGGCCCCTCTCGAGATTAACCGTTGTTAACTGGGAGAAGTTGGCACTTTCAAATACCCCGGAACGATATTGCCAAATGGGCAGAGTGGGGGCCAATTCATCTTAAATGATGCCGTTTGCAGGGCTTTTGTAAACTAGAGGTTTTATCACTGTTGTTCGACAACCATCCTTTGAATGCCTTCTCTCAAGGGGAACAGTTCGAATTTAGCTCGAAAACATTGCAAGGACATCTCAAGCCACCCATGGGTGATGTTTGAGGCAATTTAGACACATTCTTCGTCGTCTGCCCCATGAGTTCAGTCTTGCTGCTCTTGATCCTATACCCTGTCCACCTGACGGCGGTGGTGGTGGCAACGGCGGGGAATACTAGTTCAAGACCCGACAGCATAGTCAGTCAGGATGTGGGAGTGACCCTTGGACATCCGGAATTCACTCTTCATCGCTGGATAAGATAGTAAGTCGACCACATCTATATTTACTGCAAGTAAAGGCACATGTGGGATATATTCTCTATCTGTCTTGGGGTTTGATGTCCGGAGGCGCATCCATGGACGGACTCTAGATTTGCATATGTTCTGAAGTAGCATTTGTTCTGTTGTGGAGGCAATACTTGACAAGTGTAGGCTTACCTTTTGTGGTTTGCTCCATTCTGGTCAGAAAACGCACTCACCTGCCGCGATGTTTCAACCTGCACATTTTTTTCGATTCTTCTCTTTGATTTCGCGGCAGCTCAATTCTCATCGTTTCTGCCTTCGCTTTTTCCATTTATGCTACATAGGAATACGGTGCGCGGTTTTAAAACAGCTCTTTGTGTACCCGTTCTCCCTCCAGGTCATGAAGACAATCATCACGTCAGTTATCTACTCCTCTATAAAGGCATTCCAACACGTTGCGGGTGTGGACATTGGTTCAAGCTTGTGGATTTTAATGAGTACGAGGCCGCTAGAGAGAGATACTGGAACAGTGTGAAAAATGAGCCGGAAAACGCAAAACTCCTGAAGGACTTGGAGGAAGCAGAACAGGAGCTACAGCATCTGCTTGAGGAGAGTAAAACTATGACCAAGAAGTCAGCTGGCGCAACGGAAATGATGGACAAGTTGTTGACCCAGTGGACCAAGTACAAAACCGCCTATGGGGAGATTCGAAGAATAATTGATATGGCGTGCGTCTCGGACATCCGATAGAGCGCTGCTGCATACTCCCTGATGTTTCACTTATGCCGCAGTGCTTTGCCTCAGGCCACAGACCTCTTGACAGGGATTTTTTTTAACCAACTCCTAACTTTCTGTCTACTAACTTCTTTCCACACCCCTAGTCTGAGTATCGGTAGAGAAACCTTATCGCATGTGTTCTGCTTTGTGGGTAACGTACCGTCATTAGGCGTGGTTGGTGGTCTTTGCTGTAGTTCTGCGATAGTTTGAATGACAGAGCCACCGTTCCTATCTGCGAGCCCGGCCATATACTTTTTTCTGTCCATCTTCGGAACTGCAGTGGTGTAAAAAGGACAGCTTTTATTGGTCCGCTTCGCTAAGGGCTGTCCGGCGCTCTGATATTTGAAGTTGTGGTTGGAACGGGTTGGGACCCCGAGAATAAGATGGGACTCTGACATGGTGGACGTATACCGCCACCAAGAAAGCCCCCTCCACCGCAGTTGTCTTGTAGGCTGGACTTTCGTCTTTGGAACATTTTGATTTGTGTTACAGCGTATGGAACTACCAGCAAACAGGCTGATCTGTCGACTCGTGCGGTAACATCTGCAACCCTAGTTACTCGCTGGGCAAACTGGTTCGGCCTGAAGGACGAAGTTGTCCGGAATGTCATTTCATCCGAAAAGGGCCAACTGAAAATGTAGCAAAAGCTGGTCTGAAGCTCTTTTCAGGCTTTGCAGTCTGTGGGGCTGCCCCCATCCCCCCCCCCTCCCAATGGGCTCAATTCCATACGGGGTTTGTCGCTGACCAGCTGCAATGGAGGACGACCATTTGTGATATGGTGTAAGCAGTCGGCCGAATCCGTTATAACGAGTGCCATCGCAGGTGCAAAGTAGGTTGTGGAATGTGCCGTCAGTGATGACTGGCGCTCAATACTGATGCCTATACATCTGCTGTGACTAGATTCACCAGTTTTTGGTCTGAGTGATATGCATAACGCACGGATAGTCCGGTTACAGCGGATTTAAGTGTGTCTGAGGTTCGTTGACAGTAGGGATAGGTTGGGGGTTTGTGGCAGGAGAAAATCGCTGCGGATAGTTAGACGTCAGGGAGATGTGTCATATCATGAAGTGGCGCAAGGGGCAGCTGTGGGTGGCTTGTGTGAGAATCCGGGTCCCACCACTGCCACTCCGAATGCTCCACTCGTCCCCAAACTGGGGCATTAGGTGCTGTCTGCTTATTGTTGGCCTGTGGGCCGAAGCGAGCATGGCCTGCTCAACCACGCCTGAGTGGTCTGTGCTTACTTAACCTTGAGTTCTTGTTCCAAAATAATCATCTGGAGTCACCACACCGCAAAGTTGGGCGGAGGGCCCACAAACGGAGTCCACTTGGCTAACTGTTCTCCAGTTAGGTGTCACCTGAGACACAACCCACTTCTCCGTTCATCGGATAATAAAAGAAGTAGTTATTCTCAGTTGTAACATTCGCCTGGCAGGTCCTGGTGTCTTTGTCTGTCTCGGTATTTTTGCGCCGGTAGACGATTTCGCATTTTTGGGGTGAGTATTGGGAGGTGACCAGCTGTTTGCGAAGGCTGACTAAGTGCTACTCAGTTGTGCCCGCACGAAGGCCGTTTTGTGCATTATCTCAGGACCCTGTTGTGTGTGAATAACAACCTTAAGGGTGTGACGCTAGTGTATGTTGGCGCATGCAGTGGGGACCAGGTCACGCGAGCACGCGTGGATGGGTTGTTTGACCGCTAAGTCCGCGCCTTCCTCCGGTCGTCCTAACGTCATGTCATCGGAGCAGGGTGCGTGAGGCAAGGGCATGGTAGATGTCACGCAAGCCTGCCTCCGTGCAAAGTACCTCACGCACAAGTCACCGGTGGGGCGCACGGTGGTATCCAGGCTGTCCCATGTTATTTTAGCTGCGACTGTTATCTACGGCTTCCAGTCGTTTGCAACTGCTTAGTGGAGGCGCCTCCCTACAGCAGCAGCAGTAGTCCCAATGTGGCAGAAAGGAGTCAACGATTTCTGGTGACCAGTATCTCGATTCTGATTAGGGGATGGAACTGAGCCAAAAGCGTTATCGCCATCGCACTTAGATACCCTGTGTCAAAAGCTGAGGCAGACCAGGAAGGAGGGGTAAATGATGGGTTTCGGTCTCCAAAAAGGTCACTGAGACGCAGTTTTGTTCCGGCCTCTTGTAATTAAGGCGTCATCTTTAAAAAGGTGCATGCTCTATGCACTTTTGAACTCTCCTAGCGCCACGAAGTAAGCGGTCTCAGGTGGAAAGTGGAGACAGGAAAAGACCTGCTGACGGTGTTTACGTACTTTAGTCAGAGCCCTTCGTAAGGCTTGTAGATCGGTCTTGGTTTAGAAACAAATCAGAGAGGGACGTATTTGCGTATACATGCTGTCGTATTAATTGCATATGATTATGCACGGATGGATCCCAAGGTTTGTGAGCGTCTGCTATGCCATGATCAGCAAAGTATGGCCTTCACAGCCTGGTGTACCCTGGCCGTTCCCCGTGTGAATGGTTACCCAGTCACCCACGTCTTTTCTGTTGCAGTCGTGGCGTCCAGATGCGGGTTCAACCGCGCCATTCACCTGCGTCCTCCCCCGCCTCCGGTCTCCTTGACTATGTCTTTACAGCGGGTTCAGGCGGGGAAGGGTAGTGTGCGGTGGGTGCCGTGCAAGTCTACCCTCACTACAAACTAATTCACGCTCAAGTCACCTTGTCTGCTTCACTTTGATGTGGATCGCATGGTGGACATTGTCGGCAACGACGGTCGAACTTTCGGACATAGTCACCGTTACTCTGAACCCAGCCACTGAACGGGAGACTGAATTAGGCGAACTGTTCATTTAGCGATCCGATTAATGCACAGTCGAACCAGAATGAGCTCTCAAAGGCTACGTGGGCGGCGGTGTTTGGGAAGAAGACCTCCGCCTGAATGTGCGAGCTGCCCTGGGTGGGGTTGGTCGTGGGTGCTGACAAACCAGTCCTACCGACCGGTAGTTAAGCGCCAATGCACGAAGTCTAGGTTTGAACGCCATAGGACAATGCTTCTTAGGGATGGAAATGCAATCTTGCAGAACACAGCCGTTCCCTGGCGACATTAGGATCGAGTTCTCTGTGAACATGACCCTCAGCAGCCGCACAAAAAGCCTTCTTGTACGGATCAGATTTTGTTTCTGAAATGGCCGCAATATAAAGAAGGCGTGTTCTTGTGTTTGCAGTCGAAAAAGTGAAAGAAACGACCGAAAGTGTCAATTTTTTCCGTGGCCTCACTCTGTAAAAAACTAAAGTACTTAGACTTCTGTCAGCGGAATACAGTATCAAAGTACTCCTCATAGAGGTAATTTATTAGGGAAAGTTTTCTAACTGATTTAAGGCATATTTGCTGTTGACTTTCGTTGTGGACGATGAGGGTTCCTAAACGCAACATTGCCACAACGCAACGTTGTTGTGGACCACACGGTGGACGTCGTCGGCAACGACGGTCGAACTGTCAAATAGGAGAGGAATGGACTTGTGTATTCATTCTTGTATTAGTTGCATCTATGTATTTGTGTACGAATGGTTCGCAGATGAATCTGGTCGGATCGGGAACAGGGCGCGTTTAAGTAGTAAATCGCAGGCTGAGTGGATTGAGGCTCAAAAACTGCTTGACGAAGTTGGGGCTGGTTTGTTCAACCGAGGAAACGAGATAGATCGTCCTGCATTTAGGGAAGGTACCACTATGGACACAAGTTGAAGCAGAATGCCGAGCTAGAGGATAAGGGTATCATTTGAGGGGAGATTACGCCTGGTGGGATGCCCGATCATGTATTATTTTTACGGCAGAGAGCTGTTTATTACTAAGAACGTAAAAACGCCCGGTGGCTGGATAGAGAACCGTAGACGGGATTTACATGGAGCGATTTCACGTGTATGATTGACAGAGTGATAGTATTACTCGTGGCCACCGCCGATGGGACATAGGTCCACCGCCTAGAGGCGCAGCGCTTGACTTCCGCTCACCTCGAAGTCACTGACTTGAAGACAAACACTGGTCCTCCCCCGACTGGGGTTTAAGTACAGCTGATGAATAACGACAAGCCAGTAGTGACAGTCTGCATTCTCCGGGACGCCAGTTTCTTCTGGTCGAAGCCTGCGCCGGCGGGGCGTTGTGCCAAGAAAATTCTGCGTTCCGTCCTCGAGGGTGTCTAGAGAAAGACGAATCAACTGCATCGAATGCAAAGGGAGGAGATGCCGCTTCTTGAAAAATTTTGTAAATAAGAAAATACGCGTATGATTAAATTTTTCGGTGCCCGAATCCGTTTAAATGAAGGGTAGACATTAAAGAACCACACTGCCGGAGATTGTGGTAATCCTCTCTGGATACGGATCGTAGAAACGCAGAAGCCACCCCCTATGACGAGCCTGGTGTGGATTCGGGATGAGGGTGGCTCAAGTCTGTTAAGGCATGTCCATTTTGCGGATGTGCGAATTTCGCATTCCCATTGTCTGCAGCCAAATATAATTGTCGCTTATTCAAGCCTCAAGTTATGTTTTCTGTTTATGGGTTGGAGTCGTTTTTTCTTGTCAAGGTAGCACCGGTCATTTTGATTTTTTAAGAAAACATGAATTCTGAAGAGCTTTTGACGCTACATAGCGGAATGAACAGAGTTTCTTAAAAGGAGTGAAGGCATTTTTGGTGGGGACCCAGGATGAAGGCGGTGTAACCGCGTGTCTATAGGGATGGCCGATGCTGCTTACCTCCCAAGTGCTGGCGTCGCCTCTACCGCACACCACTTTCCGCCCTCTCTATGTTAGCGTCCCCCCCCACGACCTTCCCCTGCGATTGGCTGCAACGCTGCATTCCCCATTGGTCGTTAAGCTGGCATGACGATGTCATCTCCCTCCCCCCCCCGTATAGACGGATCGTTCGTCTGCTGTAGCCAAATCTGTTTTCTTGCATCTTCTACCGTTTTATTATATCATAAGTCCCCTTCTGCTGATAGTATGTCTTTTATGTTCATCTATCTTGT